GCGGCGGCGGCGGCAGCTCCTGCGGCGGCGGCGCCTGCGGCGACAGGGGCGGCGTCGGCTGCCACCGCGTCCCGCTGGACGAGGGTGGCGGGCTCGCGCGGAGCGAACCGCCTCAAGCGGTGGGCGGTGGGCGGCGTCGCCACCGCCATCCACTTGCTGCGCAACCGTTTTGTGAAGCTGCGCAAGTCTGCTGCTGCTGCTGCTGCTGCTGCCACGGCAACACCCATCCCCCGGCCTCCTCCCGCCGCCGCCAGCCTGACGCCCCCACCCGCCGTCGCCGCCGCGGGCACGCCCAACAACCCGGGCGTGCTGGGCGTGGTGATGGGCCTGCTCGGTGCCCTGTTTTGGTAGGTTGCGAGGTCGCTAGGGGCAGAGAGTGCACTGCTTGGATGCTGCTTGCAGATTTTTTGGTTGCGCCGCGCTGCTCGCATGATAAATTGATGCCGCCGCAGGCCCGCGCCTGTCGTCTGTGACGCACACAACGCATGCATGCATGTTCCAAGTTCCATGAGTATCTCAGCGTGTCGAGCTGCGGTCGTCGGCGCTGTACAAAAGAAAAATATGGTGTCCACGTGGTGCGCTCTCCGACGGGCGTGGAGTGCACGAGAGGGCCTGATGGCGGTCGAGCTCGAGGACGCCCAGCGGAATCCGTGATGGTCGCGCCTAGGGTGTCTAGGGATGTGGTCGGTGCACGCCGTGCACGGTGGTCGGCCAAACCTAACCTGGAGCTCGATGCCTATGGACGGCTTGGTCTGGAGGCGCAGCAGCCAGCACGGCACTTGAGGCAAACCCCGCTTTGGGACCTATTTGAGGCGGTGTGGCGGCACTCACAGGGCACGGGAGGCTCTCCCGCCGCGAGAACCCGGGTCTTCCCCGGTCGCCTAGCCTCTGCGCTGTCTGGCGGACGCCTGTATGCCATGCACGCGGACCACGCTTGCGTGGATACGTGGCTGGCAGGCTGACCCGTGTGCGGGGTAACCCGCGCACGGGGAAGCTTCACGGGTTCGAGCCGTCAAACATTGAGCAGCGGAGGTGTGCCGAGGGGGACCGGGAGGCGGTAAGCCGTCGTCGCCCGGCGCTGCTTGCAGCACCATGGCGATGGCGCTAAGAGGTTCCTCTTTTCCGCGCCCCCCCCGCAAGGCGCGCGATACACACATATTCTCGGGTATACCTGAACTTTTGCAGGTATACCCGGGGGGCGTGGGTGCGGAGTGCGGTGCGGTGTGAGTGTGTGCGTGTCATGTGGCTACAGCAAGTGTCCATCCGTGATTGATTGATTGATTGATGGGAAGGCGAAACACAGTCCGACCAACGACTGGGACACCAACGCGGTATGGGTGGACGCTAGACGGGCGATGACGGTCACACAGGAGCGACATCCGTCTGTAACGAAGGCGCTCTCAAAAAAAAACAAAAAAGAATTCGTCTTGTAGCCAGGCGCCAACATCTCTTCTACACCATGTGGGGCGGCGGCTACCCGCCCCCTCACGGGTACCCTTACCCTCCGCACGGCTACGGCGCCCCTCCGTGGTACGGCCAGCCCGCGCCGTGGCCGCCGGGTGGCGTGATGCCGCCGCCCGGGCCTCCGGTGCCGCCGCCCGGGCCTCCGCCGGCGCCGCAGCCTCCCGCTGGCCCGCCTCCCGCGCCGCCGCCAGGTCCGGCGGGCGCCACGGCTGCGGCGGGTGCACCGCCGCCGCCGCCGCCGCCGCCGGCGGCGGCGGCAGCTGCGGGCGTTGCCGCAAAGTTCGGATCGCACTTTTGCTCGGGCGGGACGCAGGCGGGCACCATCGACGCGGCGGCGGCGGCGGCACAAGCGGCGGCGCCGCCCGCGCCGCCGCCCGCGACCGCGCCCGCGCCGCAGGACCATTACGGCACGAATGTCTTCCAAGCGCCGGCTGCGGCGGCCGCTCCCGCCGACTCCGGCGAGATCACGGTGATCAGCGGTGTCGGGTATGCTCCCGGCATCCGCCGGTTTGGGGACCCAGCCCCCGCAGCCCCCGCCGCGCTGCCGCAGCCCTCTGCGCTGGGCGCCACTTCCCTTTCGGCGATGATTGAGGGCGACATTGCAGGTGGTCTCTCTCTCTCCCTGCCCCCCCCCCTTCTCCCTGCTTCCGGGAAGCTTCCGGGAAGCGTCCCTTCGCGCACACGGCCGCGCCGCGCCCACCCCACCCGCTCCCACACCCACACCCGCCCTCCCACAACCCCG